TTAGGAAGTTTCAGCTGAATCCAAGTTTGAGCGATTTTCGTCGTAGTAGCACTTTAAAGCAACACACATTTCCATATTTTTACTGTAGTAAGAAAACGTTTTGTGTGGCAGACTAGGAGCATGCGCAGATTGTCATTTACTCGAGTCGGATCAATGTAAGTGAACCGAAATTAATGAAATAAAAAATCCAATGAAGATGCTAAGTTATGAATTTCATCATTGATGTTTTATTTGTTTCTTTTCAGAATAATATTATAATCATCGTCAAACGGAGGGCTTGCTTCAAAGTTCTTATCCACCAAGAAGGCAATGCTGCTAGAACATGGTGACTGCTCGTCATGAAGGAGTGGCAAGAATAGACTTGCGTTCAATAATCTTACTCCAACAAGCTTGTAAGGATGGAAACATCCAGGTCTTGAAAAAAATTGGTAACAAGCTCTCGAATATTGATCTCAAAGCAAATGGCATGGCCTTAATACATATCGCATCAAGACACGGAAACATCGATACAGTCAGATATCTGATCTCGCTGGGTGCTAATGTTAATACTGTTGATGATGATGGACTTACACCCTTGCATTGGGCAAGTAAAGGCGCCCATACAGAAGTTATGGAATTACTTCTTAGAGCTGGAGCAAACTGCAACGCTCGATCCAAGAATGGCACAATGCCCGTTCACTTAGCTGCAAAGAGCGGTAGCGATAAAGCTGTGCATATACTGATTACTAATGGCGCTGACGGCAACGCAGTCGACAAAGAAGGGCGTAACCCACTCTACCTAGCGAGCGAAGCAGGACATGTGTCTGTCATTGATATTCTAATTCACTATGGTTTCCAGCAACACTTACCGCTTACGGATGGAAATACTCCAGTCCACAAAGCTGCCATGAACGGACACTTGGGAGCCGTTGACTTTCTAATTAAACAGGGAGCTGATAAAAACGCTGTTGACAAAGATGGATGGAACCCACTCCACTCTGCCTGCCAAAAAGGCCATATCGGTGTTATAGAGACGCTTCTTTCTAATGGCATAAAAGCTGATTCACGAATTAACGGAGGATGTACACCCGTAATGATTGCGGGCTGCCATGGCTACCCTGAGGCAGTCGACTTTCTTGCCAACAAAGGCGCAAATGTTCGATCTGCAGATGAATTTGGATGGACAGCTTTGCATTTTGCAAGTCTAGGTGGCCATATTCCTATAATTCGCTTGCTTTTAAAACTCGACGCGGACATTAATAGGCAAACAAGGCAGGGTTCAACTGCGCTACAAATCGCGGCCCGGTACGGACACCACGAGGTAATCTACTATCTGCTAAGGAAAGGCGCAGATGTGCATGCTACTGATAAAGAAGGATGGACAGTCCTTCATTACGCAAGCCAAGGCGGAAAACTGTTAACTAAAGCCTTAGAAGTCATAGTTCAAAAAGGTGTCGATTTAAATGCTCCTTCAAATTCAGGCATAACTCCTTTACATATAGCATCAAGGCACGGGCATCAGGAAATTTTAGAATTTTTATTGGAAAACGGGGCTGACTTCCAAATTGAAGACAAAGAAGGCTGGAATGCCTTTCACCATGCGTGCAAGGGTGGACACACAGACGTTATCGAGACGCTTTTTCACAAAGGTCTAGATATTAACACACGTACTAAATGCGGCCTGACACCTGTGTGTATTGCGGCTCTACGTGGTCATCGTGAGGTGCTGGAGTTTCTTCTTCCTCGTGGTGGTGATCTTCATGTTGCAGACAACAATAGCATGACAGCTCTACACTATGCTAGCAAGAGTGGAGAAATAGGTGTGATAAAGATGCTCCTTGAACATGGTATGGATATAAATGCTCAAACAGAGAAATTTGTTTCGCCTCTGCATAGTGCGGCTGGTGCTGGGCAACTGGAGGCAGTAAAGTACCTCATTGATCAGGGAGGGGATTTCGCCCTGATGGATGAAAATGGATGGAGTACTCTACATTTTGCAAGTCAGGCAGGCCATTTATCTGTAATAAGTGAGCTTATTGACCATGAGGCTGACCCAAACTGCCGAACATTCGAAGGTTTTACACCTTTACACCTAGCGATACAGAATAATAAGCTAAATGCTATAAGAATGTTGCTTTCTAAAGGTGCTGATGAGTACGAGACGACACAAGCAGGTCTCAATTCACTACATATTGCCTGTGAATACGGCTTTGTTTCAATAATAGAGTTACTTCTTGAGCTTGGAGTGAACGTGAATAGCACCACAACTAAAGGCTCTACTGCATTACACATTGTAGCAAGTCGTGGTCACGTTGCAGCTGTTGCACCGTTGTTGTCACGCAATGCTGATTTGCGAATGGAAGATTCGAACAACTGGACGCCACTTCATATAGCTTGCATCGAAGGCCATCTAGAAGTCGTTAAAGCTTTGCTGCAGCACGGCTTGGAGCCAGATATAAAAAACACAAAGAGTATAACTCCACTGCACTGCGCATCACAACATGGCCACCCTGAAATCATCGACTTCCTTCTTACTAAAGGCGTGGATATGAACGCCACAGACGATGCAGGCTGGAATGCGTTACACTTTGCTAGCAGCGAGGGCAAAATTGATGTCGTTAAGAGCTTGATTAAACTTGGCGCTCAACCAGATTGCCCAACATATGACGGCGTAGCACCTATACACATAGCCTCTAAGAATCGTCACTCTGAGGTAATTGACTTTTTAATAGAGCAAGGTGCAGACAAGCATATTGTAGACAAAAAGGGATGGAACGCGCTGCATTATCTTGCTAAAGATGGGAGCGTCAAAGAAGCAGAGGTACTCTTGAACCATGGTGTTGATATTATCGTCAAGAGAACATACGATGGTGATACGGCTCTTGCAATTGCCGAGAAGGAAGGCAACAACGCGATGCAGCAGTACCTACATGGATTTATGTTTAAGCATTTTGGAATAACTGGAGATGAAGCAGATGGTGCAAAACAAGGTGCTTATTGCGTAATTTTATGAAATAAGTCCATAAACTCTGGAGAATAATTCAGATTGATTTGAGTGCGCTTCCTGAATGTGAAAGCTGTTTATAGATCCGAGTTAAAACTAAATGTGTCGGCGTGCATCTGAACAAATTCTTTGCAAATGATTGGCATAGCGGCAGATTAAAATTATGACTAGAATTCCAAAACATTGTTCTAATGCAAAGAGCTCATCATATCCGAAAGCTGCATCAAACAAGGAAACAAAAGCAAAATATAGATAATCAGATGAAATGCCTTACTTAACCTGAATAAAAGCTAGTGATATCTCTAAAAGATACTGGACACTGAATTCAAAAGCCATGGYTTTACAGATGCGAAAAACACAGACAAGCTCTAACAGCCAACTAACAGCCATATGACTTGAAAAGGATAAACCAAGCCAGACAAAGAGAAATATAATACAGCAAAGAAAATTCCATTAGTGAGTGGAGATAACGTGGTTATCTCGGTCCTTGTTATTTCCATTATAATTATAAAGATTTTTTCGTTTCTTTGGTTGTTTTTTTTTTCCTTTTCCTTTTTATTTTCTTGACTAGGTAGTTTGTGATTTGTCGCGAAGATATACTCAATTACAAAATTATTACCGGGTTCAAAACTTTAAAAAAAAGAAGCTGAGTCCGAAAGGTATTCTGGGAAATGACCAAAATTTCCTCCCGATGTATTTATTTGAAGAGTAAAGAGTCGATATGGAACATGTGTTAAAAGTGCAAAAATGTGTGAACATTCCACGCGTTGTATCAATAGATATCTCTAATTAACGTATTGCCCATGTACTGTTTTAGGAGCAGGCGTAGCTCAGTTGGTTAGTGCGCAGCCATCAGAGCTAGAGGTCCAAAGTTCGATCCTCAGGAACTCCACGTCGGTTTCGACTTCTCTCTGTTCTGTGTAGCTTTGATTAGCTTTAAATACCCGTAAAAAGGAGCACTGATAGTTAGAGGGGGTAGAGGTCGCACCTTCGAGCGCATTAAACATGAGCCCTTGGCTCTGGAGAATTGGGCAACAACTCCCCGCGTCATCGAAGTAAAATAAATCACCTTTACCTTTCACCTTCTTTTTTACCATTTCGGTCTCAGTTCTATGTTTTGAAACAGGAAATGATTTTGATATTGATGATATGGAACATGTTAATATATCAAAGAGAATAGGATATTTTTTCTTTTAAAAATATTTATCTTATTTTTAGTTCTATAGTCTTTTTGTTCTTAATATATTTCGAACAGAAAATCCTTTCCTAACAAGAGGATTATCATGGGATTATCAAAGAATGACATGCAATTCCCTACGTTATGATACGCGACTAATAAGCTTAAGGTTTCAAGGTTTAAAAATGTTTTCTTGGTTTTAGACGGAGCTTTGCTCTCAAATACGTTAAGAATGAGGTTTAGGAGCTACCAAAATCTCTTCTTATTTTTGTATTAAATTATGCTTTTCCCTGAAAATCTCGAGAAATTTGAGAGTTAGATGAGAAATATTCCAGAGGTCAAGTTTGTTCAAAAAGAGAATGAAGAAGTTTGGTTTCTTGAACAGTTTGGCGCATGGGCGTAAGTTTTGAGTCCAGTCCCAAATGGTTCAATACAATGCAAAACCGATAAAAACGCGGATATGTAATAACTTTGACAGTTCTTTTAAGAGCTGCGACTTTAATTCAATCAACATAGAATATGATATGCGTAAATTTAAAAAAATGCTTTTAAAACATTATTGAAAACTACATTTGTTACGGGATTTAGTGAAGTGAAGTGAAGTGAAGAAATTATTCTTACAAGCATAAAAAAATCGTTTATAAAATGCTATTGGTTTATAAATTACTTTGATACTCCTTCAAATATTTCTTCTAAATTCAAATTTATTTCTTATTAGTTTTGTATTATATAATTATTGCAATTTGATAACTATTAGTCTAGAACTAAACGGAGCGCGAGTTAATAGTAAACATCACTAATAAAGAGATTTAACACCGACAAGGTCTGGAAAATGGACCATATATCCTAGAAGACGCACCGTTGGTATTGTTGTATGCGTTGTATCGACAAATACTTGATTCAAAAGCTTTGCTTGAAATATAAGTGAGGTGCATCTCTTCAATGGGATTATAAACACAGAGAGGCCACACTGCTTGTTGGCATAACAAAAGAACTAACGTGCTGGCTAATGACGTCACACAAAGTTTAAAAAATTATGGAACATTGAAACTTTAAAGTTCAAGATTATCCTAACGTTACCTAACCTTACCCTAAAGCTAACCTTACCTTACCCTAGACCTAACCTAACCTAATCTTACTCTAGACCTAACCTAACCTAACCTTACCCTAGACCTAACCTAACCTAACCTAACCTAACCTAACCTAACCTAACCTTACCTTACCTTACCCTAGACCTAACCTAACCTTACCCTAGACCTAACCTAACCTAATCTTACTCTAGGCCTAACCTAACCTTACCTTACCCTATCCCTTGGGAATCTGCATCCGCCAGCAGTTTTGCATCGTGTGTTTTTTTGCCAATATTAGTTGATGTAATACATTCTTAGATGACATTAGATTTATTGAAATTTTTTACGCTCTAGCAATCTAACATTGTGTTTGAAACAATAAAACAGCTATTACCTCATTATTCAGTATCATACCTGTTCAATACTTATCAACCCACCTCAAAACTGGAAGGTCCCAAATGCACATTCCAGGGTAGAAAGGGGTTGACAGGCATCCATTGAATCTTCACTAGCTTCACCGTTGGTACGGTTTTATCGATTTACGATCCCCTTCTTATGACTGAACCAATCACAATGCCTTCAGGTTCTAACTAATGAAGATTAGTAGTTTTCTCTGCTATTTCCCTGTAGAGGTTGTAACGCTAGCTACCATGTAATGTAGAATAAGTTACGTTTCATTATAGTTA